TGTACATAGTACACTTGGATTGTCAGGAGCCCTCTATTAGAGGTTGATTAGTAAAATTTAAGCTCATGGGATAGGAGGTAACATACTGGCACAGAATAAGGATTGGCGAAGAGATAGAAAACAGAGACTAAGATTAAATGATTCCCTCTCGCTTTGGTAGCAGGCTGGTGGGATGCAGCAACGATCATGCTTTGGGCCCCAGCTGTTCAAACTATGTATCAGTGACTGAGATGTGGAGTCCAAATATAATCCTTTCGAATTCATGAATGACACAAAGCGACGTGGGTTTGTGTGTTCAGAGGAAGATACAAAACAGGCGAGTACGGACAGACTTAGTGAGTGACCATGATCAAGGAAGATGGAACATAAAAAAAATGTAAGTTAACCACTTTGGTAGAAGAAACATGTGCAGAGTATTTCTTAAATGGTAAAAGATTAGAAGGTATAGATATCCATAGGGACCTGGATACCCTCACCAATAAGTCATTAAAAGCTAACTTTCAGGTGCAACAGACAACTGGGATGGCTAACTGAATGTTAGCCTTTATTGCAAGAGCATTTGAGCACAGGAGTAGTGAAGTCTTGCTTCAACTGTATCGAACTTTGGTTCAGAGAGAACAATGTGTGGTTTTTCTCTTCTTCACTTGGGAAGGATATTATTGCCATAGAAGTTCAACAAACATTCACCAGATCTGTTCCTCCTCTGCAAAATTACCCATCTCCCCTCCTGACTCGTCTCATCTACTGCTAAAACTTTTATCAATGCGTTCCCTATGTTTCTTATCATACAATAGTAGCTGAAATACATAATTGGCAGTAAAGGACTTAATGCCACCAAAGGGTGTGAACATAAATACTTGTTTTATGTTACCTGCAGACTTGAATATTTCCATTAATTCCTATCCTGTCACCCACACTCTACCCTCTGTAAACTTTATATAATTCAAACTTCTCCTCTGTGTCCTTTATCACATTAAATCCCATTCACCCATCGTTCTCGTATACCTGAACTACATCAGCTCCCAAGCAAAGGCTAAGCAATGCTTCAAACTTAAAACTCTTATGCTTCTTTTCAAATCTCTTCATATCCTCACCTGATCTCTCTCCAGTCCCACAACTCTCCAAAATTTCTGCACAGATCTAATTTGGGCCTCTTGAGGATCTTCAATTTTAATTACACCACCATTGGTGCCTGTTTCTTCAGAGATTGCTCCTAAAACATCTTTATCTCTTTTGTTTACTCCTTAAGATCCTTCCTAAAACCTTTCTTTGACCAAGCTTTTTGTCGTGTCCCTATATCAACTGTTGTGGCTTGCTGTCAAATCTTGCTTTATAATGCTGGTATGAAATACTATGACATTTTAACAGCTCTGTATGAATACAACTCATGTTACTGGAGTAAAATAAAGAGGTTGACAACATGCTGGTCATGTGAAAGGTACTCCAAATGCAAGAATGTGGAGTTTGGAATAGAAGGAATTTTCTAGATGTCCTCTTCCTCATCCACTGCACATTACTGAGATCAGTTGATCGGGCTAAGAGATTAGTGTAGCCTTTTGCAGCCATGGAATTCTGTGTGTCTCAATGTCTAGAGTTGTTTCAAGATCCAGGCTTGCATTAGTTGAGAAAAGAAAATTGAAGTCTCCCTCACCATCCTCTTCTTCAATATTTCTGCAAAATCATTTGCTCATTTTAGGGCAAAAGGTAGTGGACTAAAGACTACAGATTTAATGACATTAATCACTCTCCCAACTGTACCTTACAGGCCTTCATTGTGCAATGCACCACTTACTTCCTAACATTTAAGTAAATGAGACTGTGACCTAAGGATAATCACACAGATGCTGCTGCACCACAAGAACCGTACTCCTTTTCGAAAAGGAAATCAAACCGTTTAGACTTGTCACTACACAACAAGAGCCCTCATGTCTTGAAACGTCACTGAAACTTCAGCATCTTAAATTGTTTAAATATACAATTCTGGAATTCTAAGTCAGTTACTGTTTGACCTCCAGAGTGAAAGCATGAGTCCAGGTAGAGTTCACAACTGCCTCAGGCTCCAAGTCGCTGTCTGGTTAGAAATGTTTACTTTGCCTGCAACGATGAAAACAACTGGGCCCAGCTCCCTGAGGAAACTATTAATGGATGTTGACGTCTAGGAAACCATAACTCATGTCAACTGATTTTTAATGCCTCTGGATTTATCAACACTTGTAAGTTATAACCCAGCTCCTCTCTTGTCTTTTGGCAATTTCCTGAGAACTTGATTGCATGTACTGTCGCTAAGTAATTTTCCCACCTGTTGACTGCTTTCTAACAAATCCCATCTTTGATTTCACAGTCAGAAATCTACAGTACGGAAAAAGGCCCTTCTGCCCATCACATCTGCACCAGTCAAAAAACAACCACCAAACTCATTTTCCAGCACTTGGTCCTTTAACCTTGTATGTCTCGGCATTGCAAATGCACATCGAAATACTTCTTAAATGTTATGGAGTGTTTCTACTTCTACCACCCTTACAGGCAGAGTTCCAGATTCCCATATTCCCACCACCCTCTGGGGAGAAAAGGTTTTGTCCACATCTCCTCTAAACTTTCTGCCCCTTACTTTAAATCCATTCCCCCACTTAATCCCTCCATCAAAGAGGTCTACCCTATCTATACTCAGTTTTATACAACTCAATGATGTCCCCTTTCAATTTCCTCTGGTCCAAGGTAAACAACCTCCGTCTGTCCTCTCATCTTAAAAAGGAATTTGCTGTCGGAATATTTCAAAAATTAGAATCCAAAAATTGGGGTTTTGGAACACCCTTTGCCTACCTTATTAAGGGAGGGGCATTAAAAGGGAAAGGAAAAAAAAAAATCAAACAATACCTCACTACCTCAGGTTTAAGAAGTGAAAAAAGAATCAATTTCAATTCACACCCATTAACCCTTTGTTCGTGACATGAAATACTGGACCTTGGAGTGCAGTTCCACAAATCCCTGCAGAAAGGAAAACATGTAGATAATGCGAGTAAGAAAGCACTTGGGATACCTTCCTTTATTGTTTAAGGCATTTAGCTTAAGGGAGCTTATGTAGAATTCTATCAAAATACTGGTTAGCCCACAGCTGGAGTACTGTGTACATCCTCATTGTGATCAGACATTGATCATAAGGCAATGAAGAGAATACAAAGGAGACTTACAAGAGTATAGCAAATTTTATCTAGAAGAACTGGATAGATCAAGTTTGTTTCCCTTGGAGGACAGGATGCTGAGAAGGGTATATAAACGGAGTGGCCAAAATCAAGCAGATTTGATCTATTTCCATTCATAGAGGGGTCAAACACTAGAAGACAGATTAAAAATAACTTCTAGGATTAAAAAGGAGTCAGAACTCTTTGTAGTGTTTAAACAAAAACTTGGGAATGTACTTGGATGTATTCTAACTTGCACTGCTATTAATCGAACGAGAAAGGGATTAGGTTGAATGGCTCATCTCCAGCTAGCACTTACGTAATGGGCCAAACAGCCTTCTTCTTTGACATAATGGTCCAGGTTTCTAGCCCTTTTTTTTTTGCTTCTATCCATTGGCTTTCAGAGATTCTGATTACATGTTCCTAAACCTGTAAGTGTCTCCTTACTGATCTGTTATACACAAAAAAGGGCAGCACTTTGGCTCAGTGGTTAGCCAGGAACCCAGGTTTGATTCTACCCTCAGGTAACTGTCTGTGTGGAGTTTGTACATTCTTCCAGCATCTGCCAGAGTTTCCTCCAGGTGCTCTGGTTTCCTCCTGCAGTCCAAAGATATGCATGTTGTTAGGTGGATTGGCCATGCTAAATTATCCATATGGTGTCCAAGGATGTATAGGTTGGGTGAATAGCCATAGGATATTCTGGGTGACAGGGATAGGGTAGGGGGTGGGTGTGGGTGGGATGCTCTTCGGAGGGTCACTGTGAACTCGATGGGCCAAATGGCCTGCTTCCACACTGTACACATTCCATTGAATGGAGGACTTCACACTTATCCACATTGAACTTGAGCTGCCAGTTTTCAGTTCTTTTTAATCCAGAGAACAGACTTGTGGTGAACCTGTTTCTTATACCTTCGAGGGAGCACTGAACCCGTCTCTAGATGAGGCAAAGATCATATGGTCAAATTCTAGGTAGCTTGAAATATAAAAGTCAGTATCAATATGGTCTGCTGGACTAGTTTTGGTCACCTAATAGATCAAACATATTTCTGATAAATAACTCATAATTTACAGATCTTCAACTACATGTGAACTGTATATAACTTTTTGAAACCAGAAGTCCCTATGTTAATTGTGTAGGAAGCTGCTGAGGCCACTTTTTTTTTGGTCCATCCCTAGTTACCCTACAAAAGGGGATAGGTTTTTGAGATCTTTGGAGTATGGTGCCTGATCACACTCCCTCCTCATAAAGAAACACTGTTAAGCAGGAAATGCTAAGATATTAACTGAGCAACAATGAGCGAGAGTCTGCTCCTGTTCAAATCTGGATAAACATTACTTGAAATTGATAGTTTTCACACATTGCTGCTAATCGTCTCGCGCTAAAAGTAACAAAGGAAGGCTCTGCCAAAAAACTTAGCGAGTTGGTGCAGTGTGTTCTACCACAGCTGCAATAAACCAGTTTACAGGAGGTAGGCAGGAGTACAGTAGAAGCACTAATTGACTGTACTACTCTGGTCTTGTCTTGTGTGGCTCTTCGTGAAGTTGCTATGGCACTCTCGTAGGCATATGAACGTATTCCACCATATTCCTAACGTTGTTAATGGTGAGTAATTTTGAGAGTTCAGAACATAATGTAAGTGTTACAGAGTATTTAGCTTCTACTGCTTCAGCCAGTATTGATGGAGTTGGGCTAGACAAGTTTCTGGTCAATAGTTGCACCAATTATCTAACTCAATCTGGCGGCGGCAACACAATTTTTCATTCACCAAACATGGTCTTAACTTATATTTTTAAACTGATAAAGGCATCAAGTATCTGGAATATTGTCAATAAAACATCATTTATTAAAGCAGATTATATATTTATTTTCTATGCTTGCATGTCAAATACATAAATATTTTCAATTCAGTTTTAAGACCATATATTTAAGAAACTGATTTACAGTAAGCTAAATTGTGACACTAATGAATAAGCGCAAGGCTCTTTGTGGCACTTCACACAATTAAATAGCAAAATTTTCAGATAACACATTAAAAGCTTCAAGTCAATGATTTAAATACATTTTACCGTATTTCTAACTATTCAGAAGGACATCATGTTGCAAACATCCTTCCAAGTTACAAAGGCAAGTTTCAACACTCAGTAATATTTTTAGTTTAAGGCATTAATAAGCCTCCAATACACAGACTTCAGAATAAATAATTTTAGGGATCTGGATAAAATTTACAAATTGCAATGCACAGGATGTAAACAAATTTACAGTTCAAAGATGTAACTGGGGCACAAGTAAAGGTCTTTCAAGTTGTTGGTTGGTTCGCCAAGCAGACTGGTTTTCCTGAAAATATTTCGTCCCCCTTCAAGGTGACACCTTCAGTGCTGTTGTTCTGTTCCATTCTGAATTTATATGGTCCAGTCTGTTATAGTGGATAGTTCTGGTCCCAGTTTTGCTCCTTAGTGATGTACATGAGGTCTATTTCAACATGTTTGTTATGGTACCAGTAGTTGAAAGAGGAACACCTTATCAAAGTCTTTGCAAGCAATGGGTATCCTAACAGCTTCATCTGCCAATCCCTGTCAAATAAACAACACCAAGAAGACACTGTACGCCCCTACACACTGGCCACCCTACCCTATATTAGGAACATATCGGAACTGACTACAAGGCTCCTACAACCTCTTTGAATAATGATAGCACACAAACCAACAGCCACACTTCGCCAGCTACGCTCAGAGACTAAAGATCCCATACCCACAATGATCAGGACAAATGTGACATCAAAATACCATGCAGCAACTGAGAAAAGCAATATACAGGAGAGACGGTCAGGAAACTCACCACCAGGATACACAAACACCAACTCGCAGCAAAATGGCACAACCAACTCTCCCTCATTTCTATTCACTCTGACAAGGAAGGGCATCAGTTTAACCAGGACAATGTAACAGTACTAGGACAAGTAAAACAAAGATAAGCATGAGAATCCCGAGAAGCTTGGTTTTCAACCATTGGTACCATAAACAAATATGTTGAAATAGACCCCATCTACATACCACTACGGAGCAAAATTGGAAACAGAACTACCCACCACAATAGACTGGACCATTTAACTTCAGAATGGAACAGAACAACACAGCTTCAATGGATGCTAGACAGCACTGAAGAGGTCACCCAGAAGGGGGATGAAACATTTGCACGAAAACCAACAACTCCAGCCACAACCCGAGCAACAGATCTTCGCTAAAACTTTAAAGATCTTTCAAAGACAAAGACAGACAATCAAACGAATGCTAAATGAAAGATCATTTAACTGTACAGGTCCTGCAGCTACAGTATACCAAAGTCTGGCACCTACACTTTGCTACAGAGTTTCAAAATGCAAACTTCACATATCTTAAGGCTGAACATGGCAACAACCTTCCAATGTCCTTGAATGAGACAGAGAAATGATGAGAATACATTAGGTCCAAACATACAGCTTTAGTTCCCAGAGTTAGTGTTCCAAAATAGGATTTAAATATGAAAAAAAGGTAAAAAGGTACTCATTCTTTCAAATCTTATTGATACAACTATTATAATGATTCTGCCCCAGATAAATATTCCTATAAAGCAAAAGATTTAGGATATCCCTTGTTTACTATCATAAACAATTTATAGAATTTGTCTATGGTACAGTTTAAATATTGATTGTAATGCAAGAATACAAAATTTACAATTTCTAATATTCAGTACTTCCAATAAACTTTTGGACGTGGGTGGGAGGAAGAATCATGATGGCAATCTAGCATCTCTCACTAAAATGGTAATACCATTAGTCATCAAAAAGTAGTATAACAAAGCAAAAACCAATTCGTCAAAGGCCACTTACATAATGCTCGGTTATTTATGTCTAACTCTTGTATATCAGTTTTTATTTACAAATACAACTAGGGTAGTAGACTGGAACAGAAACGTTTTAAAAATATTTGAGCAATATTTCCAAAAAAGGTAAAACTTTTGATTAAAAAAAACAAATGCCATAACAGAAGACACACAAATTATATTTCAAACAATTGCTCGGCAATACAGAAATTCAATATTGCTGTAAGAAAGAGAGATATCTTTCAGTTTTGTCTATTGCACATTTCAGGACAAACACAAGATGCTAAGTTTCAAAATGATGAGTTGACTCTAAGAGGTTGTGATGGAGAAACCAAAGCGGATCTATACACTCCCTAAGTGTCATGGTGATGTCTTGGCCAGAGTGTGACATGTTCAGCATTCTTTTCTGTTATGAATGTTTGAAATGTGGCACTGTTATGTTTTCTCCTAATAAGTGCAAGACCAAAGTTTGCACATATCTCGCTTTTCAGCAATTATATTTGTTACCTTTCACCAAGTCGTATCAAATAAACAAAGCAAAATACAGAACAAACAAGTACCACTTAACATCACCCTCCCACCACACTCCTCAAAAAGAAAAATAACTTCAAGCCATTTAGCTGACTTAGCAGAATTCCTCAGCTTTATTTTTAGTATACTAGTTAGTGCAATAATTGTATTCCATAATTTTGGGACTTCAGCTTTATTTCACATGCAACACAATTTCTAAGTTTGCTTCCATCAGCAGTACTAGCTACAGACAATTAAAAAAAATTGCACACTATCACATAAGAAACTACAGATTGTACCTCCCGACTAAGCAGAAACTGGTCAAAATGGAGCAGGGACATAACTAGTCCTTTTTTGCCATGATCTGAATTATCGTAAATTTATGTGGTGGGATTTTTTTAAAATAAAAAAAATATGTTGGGCATGAAGATGATCATCAAGATCCAAGCTGAAACCTTGGGACTGAGCAATAACAAAGTTTATCACGAGGTGATAACCTTCTGCAAACTAAGTCAAGGGTCAAAACTGTCAAGTTTTAATTTAAAAATTCCTTTGAGCCAGAATTCAGTAAATCCCGGAGTCCTCTCACTCCAAGCTTCCACCCCACCCTGCTAGCATATCACCCCTGCATCTTCCCACTCACCATTCATTCGAATAGTGGGGAACATTCCTGCAGGCTCCAGTGATGATATCCTATAACCTGAATTTTTATTCCACTTGCCTGCTGGCTAGGTAATGACTCATACCAGGGTCAAGAACACGCCTAATCTTGAACATACAAATGAGCAGCATAGGAAGTCAAATATCTTTGAGCCTCAGCACGGAAGATTGGACACTCGCCCAGAATACCCCTATGTGTCTCTCCAAAACCAACATAAAATCAAAGCTAAAGTCTCAGAAGAGCATTCAACATTATAAATTTAAAAACAAAGGAAATGTACAAGAAACCAATCAGGACCAGTTGGGACCAAAACATTGTGGGTGGTGACTCTCTGTTGAATGAATAGAGAAAGGCAGGAGGTCTTCACCTTAATGCTTACCAAAGCCAGAAAAACAAAAGCAGGACTTAACAGCTGGATGGTCAAGTACTCAATTAAAATTAGCTCAGAATACTTCAACCTGCTGCAAACTTCATGTGAAAGTACAGTAAATCTTTTACATAGAGCAGTTTAAGCCACTTGATTTTGTCAACAAAAAGCCAACATCTAAAAGTGTTCACACCATCACAATCCATGCAATGTCTAAATGTCTTTGTTCCATGCTTTAATAGAAATATCCCAATCCAAAAAAGATCTTATTTGAATTATTACACATTTATTCCAACTTCATGCATGCAATATTGAAGACTTATATTTGATATTAAATTGACCCAAAACAGGAAGCAGCAACATACTGGACCATCTTTTCTTGGTTCACGTAAAGATTGATTTGGGCACTTCCTCCCATTTACTAATTGAACTAATGTGTCAAGAATGGTGATCATACTACAAACATAAACAAGAAACAATAAATTCTGCTAGCATTTAATTAGCTATCGAAATTTTAAAAATTCTTGACAAATGTTTTACACTTTGATAAGTAAAGAAGCTGCATTAATAACATCAAATATGCTGAAATAAACATAAACAATAAAGGACTGCAGGTGCTTGAAACCTGAACCAAAATAGATTGTGCTGGAGAAACACAGCAGATCTAGCTGCATTTTCACTGAAGGATCACTGGACTTGAAATGTTAACTGTTTTCTCTCGACAGATGCTGCCAGACCTGCTGCGCTTCTGCAGCTTTCAATCTGTTTTTGATCCAAATATGCCGATCAGACATCATTTTGCAAATTTTAAAAGGAGCTCGATGGCAACACAGTTCGTTGCTTCTGCTCACACTAACTGGTGTAATGCAAAAAGCAGTCTCCAATAGCACAATGTCTGTTTACCCATGATAGCATTTTTTTTAAACTAAAGACTGAAACAATGGTCTTGAAAATTGCAAAAAAAATTACTGAGAAAAGGAAAGTTTCGGCTCAAGATAACTTTTTTTGTTGTAAATAACATTCACATTTGAGATAGCTTTATTTTCATGTAGGTTTCAAGTGCCTACATCACATATGAGTGTATCTGTGTGGAAAGGAGAAAGGGTGTATAGCATCACTGCATACGCAAGAATTTTAAAAGGTAAATTATTTGGTAAGTATTACTTTATATTGAATTTTAAATAGTTACATTTTACATTTAAATTTGTAAATAGTAAAGCTCCCAACCACACTTCAACCCACAAATTTTCCTCAATTGGATCAATACTACCTTGCATTTTAACTAAAAGCATAAGTTTGTGGTAGTTGCAGCGCATTTGGAGATTTTGCTTTAAATTTAAGAAGTGAGCTTTTATCTGGTTTTCTGGACTAGAGTATTCCCGTCAGAAAGGGTATCTCAGTTGTATTTGCAACACATGTTAGAAGACAAAGAAAAAGATCAAGTCTTCAAAAATAAGCAGAACATCTACAAAATCTGCAGACAACTATACAGGTGGCCATGATCATTACAGGCTTTCCACAGAATGATCAAAAAGAAAATGCCATTAATAAATTTACTTAATTAAATTATCAGATATAAAATGTCCATCTAATGAATGATCTCCCATCATATTCTATATAAACTAATGACAGGGAGAAAAATGCTACTATGCTAGTGGTAATTCTACCCACAAAAGAGCAAGAGATGAGATAGCACCGTCACCAACCTGTGAAGAAAACATTAACAATTTTCTTACTGACACCAGGAAGGGGGGGTAGGGGAGTCTGCTTTCACACCTGGTTCAAAACATGACCTAGTGAATGGTCAGCTTCAGGAGGTTAGTGACATGGAGGCCCATTAATTTAAACTAATTTACACATTGTTTGCTATTTGGTGACCAAAATGTTTGTGAAATTGTTGTGAAGTGATTGCCTTGTCATCAAAATGCAAGACAATTGGAGGTTGCACAGGGACACAGGCATTCTTATTGCCTTTGTGCTGGACAGTGCTCGAAGTGGAGGGGGGAAAAGTAAGTTTTAGATGAAAATGTGGGAAGCTATTGACAGTTAGGGCCAACAGGAGGACTGCAACCGAACCAGTTTAGGATTCTGAAATCTCAAAATACTTACAACACCCATTAATATTGCATTGATTAAACGAACGAGAGGTTTTTTTTGTATTTCAACACATCTACATTGTATCCTATCACAATTCCACTCGTCATATTGGCTCAGATTAGAAAAATATTGAAATATTCAAATGATATAGAAAATACTGACACCATGAATGAATTTGTGTACAATTTATGACAGAAAATTATGAATTAAACCCTATTAACAATTTAATCTCATTATAAATGTAAAAATCTGTTTGATTCAATGGTCTGGATTTACAGAACTTAATATTGAGGTAACCAACCAAATCTAAGAAATGTCTTTTACCATCAGGTTTAGTAGTTTAGATACAGAAACATGCTAAAGATTCACTACAGCAGTTAGAAATAACATGTTCACAGTCCTGCACTTCTCAATTTACCATCCAAACTAGTTCTAAAAGATGCAGCAAAACATTGATATCCAAACTGACGTAGGGGAGATTATGCAAACAGATCTATATTTCTGATTTGATCTTTTACACAATGCTTTAAGTGTTGCTCAATGTACAGCACATAAAAAGGTTGGAATTTTATCAAAAAAAGGCAGCATACAAATAACAAGCAAATTTTCTAGATTTGATGAACACAAGTAAATTTTCAAACAGTAGGTGATGCAAACCAATGTCAAAAAGAGACCAGTAAAATGTGTACATTACAAAATGGGTCTCTACCCAGCATCAAAAGAATCCAGCTGTTGTGAGGTATGTATTGGCTTCCAATATAAGTGCTTTTGTGTAGACGGATATTGTATAATAAAGAGTAAGAAAATCCTGTGTGCTGAAGATTGTATCAGACAATGCAAACCCCAACATGGAAGGAATGAAACCTCTACCATATTCAACCATCCATGTTCCGGCACTCCAGCGAACAGATGTGGCTTCACCTATGGAATGGACAATAGTGTCACCTATAGGAGTACAAAACAAAAAGTAATACTTTAGAATATGTCATAATTTTTTAAAATGTAAGTTGTATCCAAAATGAACAGTCAACCCATTGGGAAGCTGTGTCCCTCTTCATTTGAAGCAGGAAATTAGGGGATTTGAGTGGCTACTGTTAGTAAGGTTGTAGACTTGCTCACCAAGCTGGTGTGTTTGGTTGCAGACGCTTCGTCACCCCGCGAGGTAACATCGTCAGTGCGCCTCCGTTGAAGCATTGGTGTTCTGTCCCACTTGTAATTTATATGCCTCAGTTTGCTGGGGTGGTTGGCATCACTTCCGGTTCTGTTTTTCAGTGGTTTGTATGTCGGGTCCAGTTCAATGTGTTCGGTTGCAAACACACTGGCTCGGCGAGCAAGCCTACAACCTCATCCACAATCCGAGCTACAAATCTTCTCAAAAACTTTAAACTGCTGGTAAGGTAGATCATGCTCAAAAATCAGAGAACCCAAGCTAGGCCCCATTCAGATACTTGCTGGCCATGGAAGAACTCAGTGCTGGTGCAGGCAAGGGAGGGTGCCTTGACTCCAGTCCCCAACAATGGGAAACATATCTGGCTGTAAAATCATCCAGCAAACCTATAAACGATGGTTGAGCAATGGAGTGATCAATCATCATTGTGACAACACCATGTATTTTGCTTCCTAACAGAGGCAAAATGATACTGTAAGAGGCCACTGGGCCATTGAGTCCATTCCAAATCTCCGTAGAGCAATCCATTCAATTCCCATAGCCCTGCAAGTTTATTTCATTGAAATGTCTAGCCAATTTCCTGTTGAAATTAGTAATTTATGATTACACATGTATGTATTTTCTCCACGAGCACTAAAATCCACCAAGATCTCTACATTCTTCCAATTCTGGACTCTGGAGCTCCCCTGGATTTCACTGTTCCTTCATCCATGTAAAGTACCTGGAGAGGCTTCTGCTATGTAAATATTACTGTTGACCAGAAAAAAAAAATCACATTTATAAAGGGGGAAAAAAGGTTACATTATTCTGTAGAAACCGAACTGCCACTAATTGGATAGCACTTTCTGAAAATCAGCACATGTACAAAGTAGGAATAGCCTCTTTTCCTGCTGTACTAAGTTTTTGATTTCAGAAAGAAGCCGTTCATTACACATGTATACATACTGAAAGAAAATCTGCAATTAAAAAAGGATCAGCAGGGCACAACTTAGAATTATGGCAGGAAAGTTGTCACCTTGAAACACAATTATAAAAACTAACCTGGGTAAAATATTTCACTTTTAGTTGTCCCTTCTTTCCACTGCTGAAAGGTTCCTGAGATAATAGTGTCAGTCACTTCAGCCCAATATCGACCTGGAATATCATGTAAAAATAAGGCATAAGCACTTCTTATTTGTAGCTGATAAAAATTCTCCAAACAAGCTGTAGTATTAAAACAATGTAATCTCTATTTTAAGTGTGAAAAGCTCACAAAATGCAACATTAAAAATTCTTGTATGAGAAGACTAACATAGTAAAGTCTTTCTCAGAACTCAGCAGCACAAAACTAAATTAAAACCAGTCATAAGGCAGAGTACATTTAGGCCAAGTTGCAGGTGATGCACTCTGGCCCATTTTGCTATGGCTAAGGTTCTGTACAAAGACAGTTAATTTGTTGAGAGGGTCATAGATTTTAAAGTATAAAGCACATTCCTGAGTTTAGAAGAAGGGATTTAAGAGGTGGGTGTAAATAGTCTGTTAGAAATATTTTTTTGAAAATTCTATCAAAATGGACACTTGCACACTTTTCCGCATTGGGCAAATATCTGGCAAATGGAGTACACTCCCTTTGTAAGCCTATGTCCTTAACACAACTCACTTCCCTGCCTATCCTTGTGTCATCGGCAAGCTTAGCTACCAAAACCTCAGTTCCTTCATCCAAATCATTTATATAAATTGGAAAATCCCAAGGGCACAGCATAAACTCCTATGTTACACCTCTTGCGACATCCTGCCAACCTGAAAAAGACCCATTTAATCCTACTTTCTGCTTCCTATTAGCCAGACAATCATCTATCCATGCCAAAATGCCACCATGAGCTTTTATTTTCAACAGTGAAACATTGGAGCAGGACCTTATCAAATGCCTTCTGGAAATCTAAGTACAATGCATCCAAAGGTTCCCCTTTATCCACAGCACAAGTTACTTCTTCAAAAGAACTATAATAAATTAGTTAACCTTGATTTCTCTTTGACAAAACCATGCTGCCTCCACCTGATTACTTTAAACTTATCCAAGTGCCCTGTTATAATGTCTTTCATAATAGCTAACATTTTCCCTCTGACAAATGTTAAGCTAACTGGCCTGTTGCTTCCTGCATTCCTCCCTCCCTCCCTTTCTTGAATAAGAGGAGGTACATTAGCTACTTTCCAATCTAAAAAGAAACCTTCCCTGAATCTAATAAGTTTTGGAAAATTAAAACCAATGCATTGACTATCTCATTAGCTGCTTTATAAGATCCTAGGATGAAATCTATCAGGATTCAAGAACTTGTTAACTTGCTTCTCCTGCTTATTGAACATATTTATTGACCCAGCCCCAATAGCATGCGATAGTAAAGAATTCCACAGACTCTACCCAGACAGTAAAAAAATTTAAAAGATTTTAGGGAAAAAAATTCCTCCTCCTGTTTTAAATGGGCAACTCATTAATCATGGCCAGTAGTCCTAGACTCTCCCACAGGGTAAAGTGTCTCTGCATCTGTCCTGTCAAGACCACTAAGAATCTTAAATTTCATTAAGATCTCCTCTCATTCTCCTCAATTCCAGTGACCACAAGCCAACCCTCTCAACTTCCCCTCATAAGACAACCCCTCTATACTGGGGATCAACCTGGTGAACTTTCTCTAGACTGCCTCCAATGCCGCTATATCTTTCTGTACATGAGGGGGCCAGAATGGTTTACAGTGGTCTGATTAGTGCCTGTTTTTTCTTTCAATTTAATACCATCCTTAACCTCCTTGGTTAACCATGGTTGGGTTTATCCTGGTCCTAGAATCCTTCTTCCTCACTGGGAATTATCTTTGTTGTGAGTCATGAACATTTAATAAAAAAGTCCTTTCCACTAAACTCTTTTCGCAGTTCACTCCAGCCAAATCTATCCTCATTCTCATGTAATTACCCTTAGGTTTAGTACAGTTGCTTCTGACCCAAGTTTCTCACTTTCAAACTGAACATTAAATTCTACCATGTTCTGGTTATTGTTGCATTGGAAATTTTTTTTAAAATTAAATTTGCCTCACCACACTCACCTGATCCAGAAAAAAGCCTGATCCCCGGTTGGATCCACAACACAGTATTCTAGGAAACTGGCCTATAGACTGGAAGCTATGGAAATGCAAGCGAACAGCTAAATACTATTTAAATGTTACAAGAGTTCCTGACGCAACCACCCTTTTACGCACGTAGTTCCAGACTCCCACAATCCTTTCAACGAAGACATTTCTTCTCAACTGTCCCATCAGATTGAAGTTAAGGTGTAGAATACTACGCCTCTAATTATGAAAGAAGTGCCTTCCTTTCCACCTTATCCATGCCCCTCAACCTTATAAAGATCTTTCAGGTTGCCTCAACCTTCTGAAGAGTAACAGAACCCAAAACGTTAACTCCAATTTCTCTCCACAGATGCTGCCAGACCTGAGTTTTTCCAGCAATTTCTACTTTTATTTTTGTTTCCCTTCTGAATCTTTGTTGCTCCAAGGAAGCAACCCAGCCTGTCCAATTATTCCTCACAGCTCAGAGTCTCCAGCCCAGCAGCATCCTGGTAAATCACCTCTCTGCCCCCCTGTCTAGTACAATCATATCCTTCCCATAATGTAGTGATCAGATCAGCACAGAAGATTCCAGTTGTAACCTAACCAGCATTTTATACAGTTCCAGTGTCATCTCCCTGCAATTGTACCCTATACCTGGGCTAATAAGTGCGAGTATCCCATATGCCTTCTTAACCTTATCTATTCTCAGGAATCTATATGTATGCACACAAAGCTCCCTCTAATCGTCAGAACTTTCCAGGATCTTAGTATTCATAATTTAACCCCCTACATTGTTAACTCTCCCCAAGTATAATGCCTCACTTCGCCTGGTTGAATTTCATTTGCCACTGCCTTGCCCACTTGACCAAGCCAATGATATCCTCCTGCAGTTTATGGCTATCCGGCATTTACCACCCTACAAATTTTCTTATCATCCGCAAGCTTCTTGACCTTACTCCCACCCTCAGGTCCAAAACAGCAAAGTTCCCAGCACCAAGTCTTACAGAACCCCATAGGAAATACACAGTTGTTTCTGTGACTGCAAAATATGATCTTTTTCTTCCGGTGTCTCAGTATTTTGGATCACAGGGGCTTTTCTTGATCAATCTTCAGTGACATTATCAACAGCATTAGTTTCCATGTCGACCACGTCAAACACGTTACCCTCAACAATACAACTGGTTACCTCCTCAGAATTCAAAACTTTTGTTTGCCAAAGGGAATGACCTTGCCTAAGGGCAGCACGGTGGCTCAGCGGTTAGCACCACTACCTTACAACGCCAGAGATCCGAGTTCAATTCCACTTTTGGGGAACTGTCTGTGTGAAGTTTGCATGTCTGCCCCCTTGTCTGCATGGGTTTCCTCCGGGTGCTCTGGTTTTGTCCAACATTCCAAAGATGGGCAGGTTAGGTGGATTGACCATGACAAATTGCTCCATATTGTCCAGTGGTGAGTAGGCTAGGTGGGTTAACCATGGAAAATGCAGGGTCAGAGGGGATGGGTAGGTCTGAGGCTGTTGACTTGCTTGCCGAGCTGGCTTGTTCTTGTTCAGACGTTTCGTCACCATGCTAGGTGACATCATCAGTGGAGCCTCCGATGAAGCGGTGTTATTCTCTCTGCTTGGAACTTATACTGTCTGGTCCGTTGTGGTAAGTAGTGTCATTTCCGGTTTTGATCTGTATGCGTTTGTACATGTGGTCCAATTCTATATGTTTGTTGATTGCATTACGGGTGGAGAACCATGCCTCTAGGAATTCCCGTGCGTGTCTATGTTTGGCTTGGGTTACTATGGTTACTTTGTCCCAGTTAAACTGATGGCCTTCATTGCCTGAGTGTACCGATATTAAGGAGAGTTCATCGTGCCGTTTTGCTGCTAGTTGATGTTCATGTATTCTGATGGCTAGTTTCCTTCCTGTCTGTCCGATGTAATGTTTGAGGCAGTTGTTGCATGGTATTTGTAAATCACGTTTGTTCTGCATTTAGTGGGAATGGGGTCTTTAATCCTTCTAAGTGTTTCTCGTAGAGTGGCTGAGGGTTTGTGGGCCACCATGATTCCTAGTGGTCTTAGGAGTCTTGCTGTCAGTTCCGATATGTTGATATAGGGCAGTATGGTCAGTGTGTTAGGGCATACTGCGTTCTCCTGTTTAGTAGACATCTGCGGATGTAGTTGCGGGGATATCCATTTATAGCAACGATTTTGTATATGTACTGTTCCTTTTTCCTGCATAGTTCCTGGGTGTTAGTGTGCCCTGGCCTGTGTAAATGGTGACCTAATGCAGCTTTGTTTGTGGGCATTGTAGTGGTAGCTGTGGAAGTTGAGGATTTGATCAATGTGGGTTGGTTTTCTGTATACTGATGTTTGGAACACCCAGTTGGTCATGCGTTCCACTTTAACATCCAGAAACAGAAGTTGATTGTTGTTTTCTTCTTCCCTTGTGAATTTAATTCCTGCAAATACACTGTTGACGAGGTGGTGGGTCTCTTCTAATTTGTGGTGTTTAATAATGACGAACGTGTTGTCTACATACTGGATCCACAGTTTAGGTTGAATGAGGGGGAGGGTGGTGTGTTCTGGTCTTTGCATGACTGCTTCTGCGATGAGTCCTGAGATGGGTGACCCCATTGGTGTACCATTGATCTATTTGTATATCTGACCATTAAAGATGAAGTGTGTAGTGAGGCACAGATCTCATAGTTTAAGTATGTTGGCATTGCTGATGGAGTTGCTGCTTCCCTTAGTAATGTAGCCACTATTTCTTTAGCTAGTGGGATGTCAATTGATGTGGATGAAGATGTGACGTCAAAGGATACCATAATCTCATCATCACTGATTTTTATGTTCTTGTAGGTATCGAGGAAATCTTGGGATGCGTAGTTGGAATGGGGTGACCTGTCGACTGGGTAGGTGTCTTTAGAGGGTCAGTGTGGGCTTGATGGGCCAAATGGCCTGCTTCCGCACTGTAAGGATTCTATGATTCTATCAAATCCACGCTGATTATCCCTGATAAATAAACATTGCTGCATGTTCTGTCCTTCAGAATTCTCTCTGATAACTTTAGCACCAGAGAGGTTAGATTAACTGGCCTGTAATTTCCCAAACTATTACTTCCTTCCTCCCTCTTTTTAAGGGAAGGGGACAATATTTTCAGGTCTCTGGTATTCAGCTGGGGCCAGAGGTGATTTACCAATTGCTGCAAAAGGTCCCTGATATCTCCTCTCATACTTCTTTTTCCACTTTTATTTAAAACTGTACTTTGTGCATGAGTTCATATATATTATATACACATATACTCACAAATACATTTCAGTTCTGTACAATAGAATGTGAAGAAAACAAGCAAACATAGGCATTTAACTCCATCCAAAAAACAAACCAAAGGCATCGCTTTCTTGCAAAAGATTGTATTTACAAGCATTTGAGGCACCAGGACCTCCCTGAACAGTCTGGAATGCATCTCAACTGGGCCTGCAAATTTATCTACTTTTAAGGCTGCTAAACCTGTCAGTACCTCCTCTCTCACTCTGTTACTTTATTCTAATATTCCACAATGCTCCATCCTGGTGGCTTTATCTTCTGTTACCATTGTGAAGACTGACACAAAGTATTCATTTATGACTTTGCCCACATCTTCTTAGTTTACATGTAGATTAACCCGACAGTTCCTATTCCTTCCCCAGTTATTTACTTGCTTTTTATATACCAACATAAATCCTTTTGGGTTTTCATTTATTCTACACCCTCAATGACTTCTTATGCACTGTTACCTTTCCTAATTTTTTTGAAGTTTCCCTTGCAATTTTTATACTGCTCTTGGGCCTCTGCCAATTAAGCTCTTAGTTCAATACACACATTGGAAAGGCAACATAGAACTGTGGCCAACAAAAAGAGCATTAAAAAAAATGCCTGCCTACAAGATCTCAATCCTCAGCATTATGGTAGCAAAGCCTGGATAACTTAGGCTAAGAAAAAATTTAAACTAAATAATTTCCATTGTCAGCGTCATGACACATTCCTAGTATGAGATGGAAGATGCAGTCCTCTCTTACAGAAGCTTGTCAAGCAGCCTAGCACTAAATCAAACAAGGGAAGCTTTGCTGGTTTGCCCATTTGCAGAACAGGACTGATGACTGCATTCCCAAGGATGTTATATAGGGAGATAGCCCATGTTAAAAGATCAGCAGGGTGACAAACTCTGATACAAGGATGCTTTCAAGAGAGACACAAAAGCCTTCAACATCAAATCAAGTCAAGTGGGAAACCCTAGCTTAATGTGACTGAATTAACAATTATGTTGTACCTGAGTGTCCTCCCGTGTCCACTGCTGTTCCAAAAAGTAGCACGTATTCAGTTAGCGATGCATGCAAAAGGCACATAGAACCCATCCAGCCACCAGCATTTACAAAGATCCACTGCAGGTCCTCATCTGGAAGTATGTGACCAGGGTACCTTTTCCTTAACTCGACCACAATCTTTGTGAATGCTTGCTCATGATTAAGACCTGAAATACAGCAGCACTTTATATAACTGCAATTCAAAATATCAACTGCTTTCAATTACTGTCTTTTGTAAAACAATTCTCGCTTTCATTAAGCCATTGCAAAAGCGATGTTGGATTTCGTTAATTTCTATCAGTGATACACAATACATTATGTGACTATATTCAATGAATATAGCTTATATAATGTGGATACCTGCAGGTGATATGACACATCACGAATAAGCACAATATGTGCTTTAAATACATTCATACTGTTCATTATTTAGGTTTTTACTTCTTGCTCTGGGCACACATCCCAATCGACAACAGGTCAATGAAGTAGCTACAAGAATTACAGTTGGGTTATTACTGCCACTTTATATTTTCA